ATGTACTGTAACAAAATAACTCTTAAAGTGTGATTTACTCATTAATGTAAAAGACCCTTTTTTACCTTAAACGATGTCCATTGTTCTGCTTTTATCCATCCACATCCCAATCAATTCTGTTAATAAATATTCAAGGGTTAAATAATAGAAACAGGCAAATTATTAACACAAAAGTCATCATGTTTGACCAACTGCATTCGTTTTCAAATTAGCATTTTGATAATTATGATTTTTAACAGCACGACTACGCCAAAATGAAGTGCATAGACAAATTATTCCAGTAGAAGCAAACAAAGTACAGATATATAGGACAACAGTTGTTCGGGAATGTGCCTGAATCAAAATGCTTATTTAGGAACTAGAAAAATACTAAGAAAAACAACACAAAAATTCACTTAAGAAAATTTAAAAAAATTAAAAAAAAACAAAAATTCAACGTCTACAACCAAATTTTGGGGGAAAATTTTAATGTCGTACCCCGGCCCTTTTTTACCCTTTTAGCCCATTTTTTGCGGGCAGAACAAAACTTCCCCAAAAAAAACGTTTTTTGAACTTTAAAAAAAAACAATAAAGCGGCCCAAAAAAAAGCAAAAAAAAGAAAAGGTTTAAACCCCAAAATTAAAAAAACAGTAACTAGTACCAATTTAAAAAAATTAAACCCTTTTTTTGGGGAAAAAACAAATTTAAAAATCTAGGAAAAACTATAAAAATTTAAATTTAAAATTTTGGGGGTTACCCCTTTTTCTCTTTGGGGGGAAAAAAAAGGGGATGGAAAAAAAATTAAAATTAAAGGGTAATCAAAATATCAATTTAAAAACCCTAACAAAACTCCCCGAAAAGTTTTTTTAAAAAAAAATTTTGTAACTTTAAAAACGGGGTTTTCCCACCAAAAAAAACTTAAAAAAGTCCCATTCCCAGGGAAACAATATTTTTCCCCGCAAAAGGTTTCCCCAAACCCTTTTCCCCATTGAAATTTTAGGGAAAAATTAACTTTTTAAAAAAAAAATGTTTTATTAATCCCTAAATGGTTTATGGGAAGGAAAATTTAAAATTTTAAGCATTTAAAAAATATTTTTTTGGTTGGGAAATTTTTATTGCGGTTTTTGGCCCCAAACAAAAATTAAAACCCTTTCTAAACAGGTTTCCTTTGGGGTTTTTTTTAAAGTACCGGTTTCCCCGAAATCAAAAAACCCAGGGGAAACATTCCAACATTTTCCCCTTTTAAAGGCCAAATTTTCCAAAACAAATTTTTTGCCCCCCTTATTTGTCATCAAAACAAATCAAATAAATTCCTTCCCCCTAATTTAAAATTTTTTGGAAAAACTGAAAATTTTTTTATCCCCTGATTTTCAAAACAAATTTTAAAAAAACCCTTTAAAAATTTCCCACTGGATTTTAAAAAGGGCCCCCTTTAAAAAATTTCCCCAAACCAAAATGAAAAAATTTTAAGGGAAATTTTCCCAAAGGTTTCCCAAAGTTTCCCCTTTTGTAGCAAAAGAGTCCCTTTGGGAAAAAATCGGTAACCCTTTGCCAAAATTTTAAATGCCAAAAGGAAAAAAGATGTTCCCTTTTCATGTTAACCCCCAAGGGTTTTAAATTTGGTTTCCCTTTGGGTGGGGGGGTCAAGCTTTTTTGGGGTTTTAAAACGGTAAAAAAGGACCAGGGTTTAAAAAATGTTTTTTTGCCAAACCCAATTTTTTTTGTTCTTTTGAATTTTTTTACACAGAAAGGGGGTTTCCCCTACTAAAAAAATTTCCCCCCGATATAAAAGGGAAAAGTTTTAAATGAAAACCTTTTTTCGTCCCTTTTCCCTTGGCATTTCCCTTTTTAAAAATCGGGTTTTCCCCCGGTTTCCAAAGGGGGGAAAAAAAAACGTTTAAAAGTCCCAGGTCCGAAAAACTCATTTGGGGTTTCCCCGCAACCCTGAAAATTTTGTAAAAAGGCCCAAATTTTTTTTTAAAATCTTTATAAAATTAAGAAAAGGTAACTGGTTTCCCTTTTTTAAAAGAATAAAAATTTTTCTATTTGGGAAAGGCCCCCTTGGGGGTTTCCAAAGAAATCAATGGTTTTTATGACGTAAAATGGGTTAAAATTAAAAAATTTTTAAATTTTTTTTCTTCATTTTTTAAAATAATAGTTTGGGTAAAAGAAGGGTTAAAATGGTTTTTTCAATAATTTTAAAAAGCCAAATTTTTGGGTAAAAGAAATTCCCCCTGTTCTTTTGGAAAGTCCCAAAAGATTTTTCCCAAAGGAAAAACCCCATGGTTGCTTGGAAATGCATTTGGGGTGCCCCAAATTTAAAATCCAATTTTTAATTTGAAACAAACTTTTTTGAAGGGCCCCAAACTTTTAATTTCCCAAAAATCTTAACTATAGTTCTTTTGGGTTTTAAAGGTATTTTTTTTGGGCCCAAAAACCCCTCCTTAAAATTCCAAATTTTTTTCTTCCTGTAAAAATTCAAAAATGGGGAAAAACTGAAATATGACCCAGGTTTAAAAGATAAAAAGTTTTCCCGGTTTTCCCCAAAATAGTTTTCCCCAAGCCCACTTTCACTGACCCCTTTTTTCACAAAACCCCCTTTTTTATACCGAACTTATTGAAAAAACTTTACCCCGGGGTTTCCCCGTTTTGGTTTTTACACCGTTTTAAGGGACAATTAAAAAACACTTTTTGGGGAACCCAAAAGGGGGAAAGTGTTCCAAATTTAGACCCAAAAAAGGAGCCAAAAAGGAAAAAAAAGAAACCCGTATAAAATACCACGGTAAGAAAAAGGATTTCCCCCCCAAAAAAAACCATTTAAGACTTTTATTGGGTACAACCCTTGGGGAAAAGTCCCCTTTTAAGCCAAAAGTGGAAAAAAGGGGGTTTTTTTGAAATTTTAAAAGGGGGGGGAAAAGCATTGGAAAGAAAAAAGCGGCCTGGGCGGCCCAAAAAAAGGGAAAAATCATGATGAAAATAAAACCCAAGCCCGTTTTTTACGATCGGGAAAGTTTTCGAACAGAAAAACCCAAAACCTCGAAGGGAATTGCTTAAGGAACGGGGGAGGGAACCCGTTTTTTTTTTCAGTTTTTTGGGGAAAATTTTTTTTTGGGAATTTAAACTATGCTGCAAAAGGGGTTTCCCCCCTAGATTTTGGGTTTTTTCCTTCAGAACCCGTTTTAATTGAAAAGGGCCCCAAAAAAAGGAAAACCCGGCCCCTTGGGCATTTTTTTAAAAAATAAACTTTTTTTTCGTTTTAAAAAGGGAAAGAACCCAAAAATTTCCCTCTACCGGGGTGTTAAAAAATCCAGGTGAAACAAAGGGTTTCCCCCAAACACCTTTGATCCGGAAAAAAAAAGAGAAAAAACAAATGAAAAAACCCCCGGCTCAAAAACCCCCCGAAGAAAAATTCCAAAAAGGGTCCCAAAACCCCGCAGGGAAAAAAATGATGGCCCTTTTTTTTTTTGGGGGGATAAAATCGGGATAATCATTTATTTAAACCCATCCTTTGGGGGCAAGGTCGGGACCATAAAAAAGTAAAAAAAGGGGAAATTGCAGACCCCAAAGAAAAAAACGGTTCCCCGGGGGTCCCAAAAAATCGCGGGGTAAAAGGAAAGGGGCAAACTGACCCCAAGGCCCCCCTTCCCCGCCCCCCCTGCACGACAAAAGCCCCCAAGCCCCCACAAAATCCCCGTTTCGATGGCTTTTCCTTTCCAACTAATTTGGGGGGCCCTTTTAAAAACTTCCCCCTCCCCCATATTTTGGAATTGGGCCCCCCCGAACCCCCTACCCTTTCGGGAAACTGAAAAAAAAAGCTTTTTTGGGGAAAACTTTGGGGAAACAAAGAATGTTTTCCCCTGGAAAGGGGGAAAATGGGTTTTTTGATTACCAAAATAGATACTTCTATTTGGAGCACAGGTGGGCAAAGTTCATTGATGTAGAGGGCGATTATATTGAAAAGTAGACCATTAGTTGAGTTCAAACGGAAGTACATCGGGCCAAGAACTTTTTGATTAATCCTCGTAAGTAGAAATAATTCTGTAAAAATGCTTGATACAGTTACCTTCTCCTGTCTACAGGTTTGGGTTATGATGGTGATCAAGTGTGCAAAGTTTCAAAGCCATATGTGAATGGACTTTGAAAATATTTGAAGTATTACAAAAACTTTAACATAAATTCTAAGTCGTAAAAGGGGCATTTGTTTGTTTGTTTTATTTTAACGTCTTTTCCCAACAGTATTTCAGTCATATAGGCAAAAGGGGCATAATTCTGTAAAAATGCTTGATACAGTTACCTCCTCCTGTCTACTGGTTGGGGTCATGGTGGTGAACAAGTATGCAAAGTTTCAAAAGCAGATATCAATGGACTTTGAAAATATTTGAGGTATTACAAAAACTTTAACATAAATTTTAAGTCGAAAAAGGGGCATAATTCTGTCAAAATGCTTGATACAGTTACCTCCTCCGGTCTACAGTTTGGGGTCTACAGTCGAGCTAAAATTCATTCAAGCGAAAAACCTTGTATAATGAGCAAGTACTTTAGCTACAAATCAATCCTGTAAAGTTTCATTGACATTGCATTAGTGGTATAAGAGGAGTAGTCCAGACAAACTTTAAAAATAAAAATTATTAAAGGGCCATAACTCTGACAAAAATCATTGACCCAGAAAATGCAGATGATATGCACATCTAGACTTGGTACTGATCATTCCTGTAAGTGTGGTTGAAATTGCACAAGTAGTTTTTGAGGAGTAGTCTGGACAGGTTTTGTGACCAACAGACAGACAGACTGGCATGTGACTGAATTGGGATAAAGAGCCATTTCCATTATTTTCTTTTGTTTAATAGAGGGCCATTGGCCCCTTCTTCTATTGTTACGGAATTAGCTCGATTGTTCTCTTTTGTTCTGCTTACAGTAAAATGGCCCTCTAACCCTATTCAGTAGTGCGGACAGACAGCTGGACAGACAACGGAGAAGTGATTTTGTACTTTGTAGAGGTGACAGCTGATGATAATATATCATAAATAAAATCTTTATTTCTTATAAATAAACACATTCCTCTGAGTATTACTAAATAAATATTTTCAATGCAGAATTTAATATTCTTTTGGTAATGCCAATATTCTTCTGACTTTAAGTAGTGCAGTTGCCATAGAAGTATTGCCAATATCACCTTTTCTATTGTTCATTTTCAATAAAAATTGCAAATAAAACACAAATTTGTATGTCAATATCCATATTTTACTGCTGCCAATTGTTTTCTAAACCGGTGTTATAATAATCAATTGGATTGGGGACAAATGACTGTTGAACTGGTTGTGTTTCTTTCAATTTCTTTGCTTTTCTTAAATCAATAGCAGTAAGTTTTTGTTTGTGAACATTACTGGTGTGTTTCCGAACATTTCCCATTACACCACTTGTGTAACTACATATTGGGCACTTATATGGCTTTTCTTTAGTATGAATCCGGACATGCTGATTTAAGTTTGCTGCTGAAAAGAATGTTTTGTCACAATAACTGCACTTATATTTCTTGTTGACTGCATCATGCCTTACTCTATGACACTTGAGCGCCCTTTCGTCAATACAAACTTTGCCGCAAATGTCACACACTTTTTCAACTTTACAATGCATCCTTTCTTTGTGGGCTTCTACGTAATGATTCTCTTTAAAAAGTTTACCACACAGATCACACGGATATGTTCTTCTTTCATCATCGTCATCTTTCCCGCAGGTATATCTCTTATGTTTGAGGAGGGAATCATAGCGAGATAAACGTTTACCACAAGCATCACAATAGTAGTCCTTTAACATCCACAGACTGGTATTATGCTGTTTCTCTCGTTTGTGTTTAAACATTTCAGCACCTACAATAAAAAATCTGCCATCATTCAAAAGATTAATGCCAAAAGAGGTTAAAATATTTCTGAAAGAAAAAAAACATATATCAGTAGAATAAATGTTTCATTTTTAAAATTTAAGTTTCAGCATGCTTTGTATTTTTAAAGGGATTCCACTGAGGTTTTATTTTTACTTGAAGGGACCGAAAATATTTTTTCAAGGTTTTTGTATAACTAGATGTATGTCTAGACCAATAACTTGTGTACAAAATTTCAGATCATTTGTTCAATCAGTTTCCAAGAATTAATCAATTTTATTGTGAACATTGGCCGTTGCAAATGATTTTCACTTAAATCTGCCATAAATAGCATAAAAATCGATTATCAATTTAATACTGTGTATATTTATATATCATCTTTTGCTTGGTTTAAAATTTAAGTGTACCAGTTGATTTAAGTAAGATTTTTAAAAAATATTATTTAGGCTTGAACCTAAGTGGAGTTCCTTTAAAATGAATATTTTGTCATCAAGAACAGATAATAACTGCTAGTCAATCTATGATTAATCATTCATGGGACTATATATTTTTCTTGTTTTATGTTTTTGTTTTTATGGGTTTTTTTCGGTGGGTTTTAAGCCACTAAAAAACTAATTAATTTAAGTCATGCCGGATTATTCTACCTTTAATGGTGAAGGAAAACATTAAGGTGCCACTCTCTGCATTATTTCAGGTATAAGGGAGCATCAGAGTAAGAACCACAGACCTACTGTCAGGTAGTTAGTAACGTAGCTTTTCAATGAAAGAATCCAAAGTTCATAGTGGGACTTGAACTCATATGGTAAGCAAGTCATTCAACATCAGCAAACATAATCTCTCAGCTTCAAAAGAAATTTTTTTATGAGACAAGAAATGAGATAAGATATGTCAAACTTTAGCTAACTTATAATAATGGCACCAGATCAAATGAACACTTGTAGTACTGATGTAGCAACTTGTAAAACCATTACTAGTCTTATACTAACATACAATTGATGAAACAAACAAACTAGATAATATAGTAAAAGCATAAAAAATCAAATTACGGGTTTCAAACGTTTCATTGCAGATTGGACAAGATGGTTTAGGCATCATCTCTCTATGCACAGAGTAGAAGTGTTTCCTCAGACGTCTCCTGTCTTTATAGAAATTACCACACTCCTCACACTTCCATTCACCACAGCTATCAGGTCCTTCATTGTTTTTGTTCTTTATCAGCTTCCTTTGTTTCGTCTTATGTTTGTTCTTCATTGCTGGAAATTTAAAAAGAAATCAACAATGCTTATAAGCTATAAGTTTTTTGGGATTTTTTTTGTTATTTTTTATTTGGGTTTTCAGCCAAAAGTTTTTTTAGTTTTTTTTGTTTTTTTCCCCTTTGGGTTTTCAGCCAAGCTGATACATTAGTAAAGTCATATGGCAACTTTCCAGATTAATTGGTGGAGGATAATCTCAGATGTCACTCCATGCATTATTTCAGGCACAACTGGGTAGAACCACAGACTTTCTGAAAGGTACTGGATAGGTTCCTCACATTAAAGAATTTAAAGTCTATAGCAAGATCCAAACCCGCTGTAGTGTGGGCCATGGTTAAAAGTCAGCCACCATAACCACTTGGACATGGGTGTAAACAGTCAAAGACAAGAAAAAGATAAAATTGCCTAGTCAGATCTAAATAAATAGGAATTGTAATCTTTTTTCACAAAAAGAATTTTGTTCCCTCAAACACTTGCAGTCCATCTTTAGGCAAAAAAACATTAAAATATTTACCACTTTTTAAAAAGGTTTAAAATTAATGATCATCCTTACTTTTATTGATTCCATAGGCCTTTTTAGCTTTGCCTTCATTCTTAACATTTGGAATTCCAACTGCTCCAGCATCTATATCATCAGCATCATCATTAGTCAGTTCAAATATTACATCATCAGCAATATCTGTGTCATCAGATCCATATATATCATCTTCAATATCCTTGTCATTATCTTGATCGCCAAACTGATCATTTTCTATATCCATATCATTGTATACATCTAATTCCTTAGTTACATGCTCATTCTCTTCTCCCCTTACTTCCGTGCCATCCATACTCTGGGTTTCATTAATATCAGCCATTTCTTCCATGTTGATAATTTCTGATTTAACTACAGTTATGACTTCATGGTCGTTATTGTCATCATCATCTGAGTGAGCTGGGAAAACATCTGTGAAACCACAATGTACAATATCTGCAACTGTCTCATTTGACAAAACTGAAACAATGAAAAGATACAAAACTGCATTTTGTATGGGGTTTAAATAACTACTAAATGATAAGTAAAACTTTGTTTTCTTAAAGCAGCAGACTTCCGAGATTTTTACTTCCTTTTACACCTAATCTTTATCTAATCCTAGTTTTTGATTGCACGAGTCTGCAAATATCTTAGAAGTGACTTTGCAAGAACAGTCAATTACAGAAATATTTTCTGGTATTTTTGACTTTGAAACATATTACCTACCATTGTATTTACATTTTGATGTTTCATTGTAAATACAATGTAGAACAAGGGTCATGAATATAATTATGATTGCAATTTTTATTGAGCAATCCACTATATTATGAGATTTTGGGTAAATCTGTTTTAGCAAAACTTAATACTACAAAACAATTAAAAATGTTATCCAAGATTTAAAAAAAAGACAAGATCTTGTGTTTGGTAAATACATGCTTCTAGCCCTTAGTTTTGTCAAGAACCCAACAATAGTCAATACTTATGGAATGTAGAAAATTTAGAAATTTTAATTTTAATATACTGGAGGATATTTGTTGGAACAAAAGCAAACTTAACAAATTTGCCCCGATGATCGAACAGTTTAAAGCAGCTGACCTCCAGAAGATAGCAGAAAAACTGCCTTCTTGCTAATATTTCAACATCTCCCCTCAAAAACATTATGTAGTTGAAAGAAATCGAAATGACACTTCAAAATGTTCATATTTTAACATTATTGCTCTGAAAACAAACAGTTCACTTTTCCACCAACAGGAAATACCTTCTTTTATTATACCACGGAATTTTCATCCGTTTTTTTTTCTAGTATCACATGATCGTACAGGACAATATCGCGACCTGTGCTCTGGAACGCACGGAATCAAGTATTTAATCAAACATACATGTATAGGAATACGAATAACCACTTTTGTTTTTATATTTGTAGTTATTCATGGCACTTAAAATTATAATTGATTAATTATTTCATATATATGATGAATAATTTATCGATTTAACCTTTAGCTTGAAATGTGATAGGGGCCTACTTCATGACAAAAATTGATAAACGATCCCGGGGATATCGTGATTTTTCTAGATCACTGTTGTGACCGTGTTAAATGAATTATCTTCTCCCATTTATGCTACTGTGTTAGTGACATAGTAGATTATGGAAAAGAAAACCCGATATATTAACGCTTTTGTCAGCATTCTTTCTTGAATTTTATTAAAGGGGCAAAACTCACCAAAATCATTCAAGCAGGGACTGGAAATATTTTTTTGAGATTTTTACTCCATTTGATGTAGATCTATACTTAAAACTTATGTGCAAAATTTCAGATCATTAGCTCACTTCGTTTGTCCAGAATAATTATTATAATAGTAAAAAATGACCCAATTTAAATTGAAAAGCGTTTAAATGCTTTTTACTCAAATGGGACTGAGAATAACACAAACATATGCTTTTCAATGTATTTCTTGTATATTTCTTGGTTATATTTTATTTATATTTCTGTTTAAAGTGATCATGTTTATCTATGTGAAAAATTAAAATTTTATGTTTTTAGGCTTATAAACCTCAGTGGAGTTCCTTTAAGGTGTCAGTTATGATGGATTTATACAATAAACCTAACTAGATCAGTATTTACAATTTACTTTAAATTTTATTTTATTTTTTTACATTTTACCATCTGGAGGTCAGTATTAATTAAGATTATCAGGGCAAACTTAAGTTAATATAATAATGGTCAGGCATAAAAATCTACAAGTAACAACTAACAACCAAATGCTTTACCTTTTATTAAGCAAATCCATTTTTTTTCCTCGAAGAGTGATCTGATTGCATTCTCTTCTTCCGATGCAACTTGCATGGTAATGTGGTACCTGCAGTTACCCATTTTCTGTTTGTTTCATTGGCTGGAAAACAAAACATAATAATTTTTATATTTCGCCTAATTATAGGACATACTAGCATGTAAATACATTACTCACATAACTTTGTAAATATTTTTTGCTTTCTATTACATGTATAATGCTGATTTCACTTACTCACTTTTAGGTTTTTAAAATGATATTCATATTGTAAAACATTTAAAACCCTAAGTTAATGTCTACTTGATGCATGTATGTCTATAAAATTCAAATGGTTTGCTGTTTTGGTACAAGTTGATTCACAAATTCTAAGAGCTAGCTAAACCCTGTTTTCCTGTACTTTCTGTATATTCCAGATGTTAGCTGTGGGGAATTCATCTAGCTGGTGTGCATTCATTATAGTGATTGATAAGTTAAACAAATCTTTTTATAAAACAAGAGCGATCAGTGATCACATGTGTCTCGTGATGATAGGCAATTTCAATTCTCATGTTGAAACTACTGTGTAGCAGGAGACACAAAAAACATTAACTTACCAGAATGTGGTTTTTACTAAGCCAAAATCATTTAAAGCCATTAATTTTGTGCAAGTACTTGACGAACCAATCAATCCTATAAACTTTATATAAGTTATCTTTAATTAGCAAAAGCTGTATAAGAGAAGTAAAAATTAAAAATCATGAAAGGGCCATAATTCTGACAAATATCATTAAACACAAAACTTATCATTCATGTAAAGTCTGGATGAAATAATACAAGTAGTTTCTAAGGAGTATAGACAAATATAGGACAATATTGTGTGACAAACAGACAGATAGGCCACATTAAAAGGGATCCCTATAAGTTGTGGCTACATGTATCAGCTGTGTAGCTGGCAACACAAAAATCATTAACAGCCCAAAACATCCTTTTTTTATTAAAGGGGCAAAACTCACAAAAATCATTAACAGGCCAAAACATCCTTTGTATTAAAGGGCCATAACTCAGCAAAAATCATTCAAGCAGAAAACGTATCTAATCTGCAAAAAAACTTTAAAACTGATAAATCTTTGTAAAATTTCATTGAACTTGCATTAGTGGTAAAAGTCAGGACATACTTCAAAATAAAAATCATTCAAGCGCTATAACTCTGACAAAAATCATTTAACCAGACCAATTGTCGATGATATGCACAACAAGACTTGGTACTGATCATTCCTTTAAAGTGTGGATGAAATTGCACTGCCACAATTAAAGTTTCTGAAGACAAATTTTGTGACTACAGACGGACGGACTGACAGACAACGGAGAGGTGATCCCTTTATGTAGCTGGAGCAGTGGACACAGTTTTCCATCTTAAACAGGAAGATAATAATTCAAAAATAGAAGTTTCACACTGTGTACATCATTAGGTGTATTTTTTTTTCCACAGAGCTTAATCCATAATGTTCCAGAAAAAATGGTGTTCAGCTATATTTTCAGAAAGGTCATCGTGTGACAAAATTGTATTTGCATTACTAAGTTCCTGCAACATAATATAAAGTATGAAAAGGCTCAGAATTTTAATGTTGAAAGTTGCTACCCGTACGGCTAGCCAAAAGTTCTTGCCGTACGTGAGTCATGTACGACTAGCCAGGACACACTGTATTGGCTAGCCGTACGGCACTTTTCAAAATTATATGGAAGGCGAAAATGCATAATTATATATGTTATTATGTGTCTTCAAACGAGGATTTTAATCAAGTCTCCGCACTTGTCCTAGTGTGTTCACTTTAATAAAGATGCTCCGCCATTTTGTAAAAAAAAATGAAAACAAACAAGCGTTGTATAATCTATTTTGATAAAAGTGTTAAAGTTGTATGTTATAAGCTATAACGTCGTTGATTTTCATGCTTATGATTTGTTGTTTTATTTGTATGAAAGATGAATTGTTAAATCATTTTTGTTAATTAAGCACATCCATGATCGAATAAATAATGATCGGAGGGGAATAAATAATTAAATAAGTAAATAAAAAGAATACTGAAAAAACGGTGAAAGCAAAAATAATTTAATAATTTTCAAATACAGTACAGATAATTTCAAATATCGAACATAAAAGCACAATCAATTAATAAGCCTTAATTAGGGCAAACTTTCCTTAATGATGGACAAACTTCTATACCGTCGGTAATTGACTCAATTATCAGAGCCCAACAACAATTATTTTCGGCGTTTTAATTATTATTATTTTTTTTATTTGAAAATTAAACTAAATGAAACAAAAAAAATATCAAAGTTTTGTAAACTATTTCAATTGATGTTATTTAACTGCAACCAAACGCTATTTTTTCTCGACGTCTTGAGATGACAAAAATATATACTGTATTCGTATACTTTCTTTACTGTAGCCAACAAACAAGGCGATTAATCTCTAAACAGTAAACATACGAAGACAATTGCTGTGTCTTGTACAAATCCTCGCTTAAAGTCATAAAATAACATGTGCATTTTCGACTTCCATATAATTTTGAAAAGTGCCGTACGGCTAGCCAATACAGTGTGTCCTGGCTGATTGTACGTGACTCACGTACGGCTAGAACTTTTGGCTAGCCGTACGGCAAGCCACTTCCTTTAATGTTTTGCTCAAGTTATCATTTATGAAACAGTCTTTAAAAATGAATTAGTTTGAATTGATAAATATTCAATGCCAGAAGAAATTAATAAATTAATTATGAAAGTTAACAACCTGTTTATGTCGTAAATATTTAATAAAAAATACAGTGTGATAGTGTGTATTTGCAGGATCTTTTAAATTCATTTTTAAATCATATCCGAAAACTGTACAACTTCCGTTCCTCAACAATTACGCATAGACTTGAGGTTATCTTTTAACAATAGACGATGTGAAATACAGAATATAATTCAATGGTGTAAAAAGTTTCAAAATATCTTATCAACATAAAGAGATTTCATTAAAATACCTTTAATTGCAGCTTGTTGATTGAATACCTGACCCATATAATAATTCCCGTGTAGCGCCCGGTACATTTCCGTATATCGGGAACTGGTTACGTTGTACTAAATTTGCATGGTTCTTTAATTCAATTTAAAATCAGGTAAGGTTGACTTGCATTGATATTACAAGATGCATAACTTCTTGAATTCAAGAGTCGGAGTATTCCAGAATGTGTTTCTTAAAATCATAAATATACACTGTGTTATAAAATTATCACCATTTTGTATTTCAAGTGACAATGTCATGGGTCCATACTACTTTTGTGCTTTAACAGGTGGTGGGATCCTCATTAAGCACAGAGTACGTACTACGTACATACATAGAAGTTGTCTGTCCCTCAACCCAGTGAGGTTAAAATCATGTTTCATGCAACATGCAACAACAGTAGGGCATACAAAGTACGTTTGTGTAAGTACTAAAGAGTGGTTTAATGAATCAATTATTGGTTGTGGTGTGTATTATTTTTTTTGACAAGGATTTTAAGTCATGTCTTTTATGCATTTCATATTAATATTATTAAAAATATAAGTGGCATTTGTCTACTTTTCTATTTTAGTCTTTATTGTTAGCATGTTAACTTAAATTCTAGTTTATACATTCCCTGCTTAATCTTTCCCATTTTACTTTAAATTGCTTACATACATTGTATGTTCGATACACATTTTTTTAGATTTGCTTATGTGTACTGTCTTATTAACTACTTTGTATATATATAGTCTATTCTTCTATAATTTACTTAATTTCTATTAAATAATAAATTCTAATTATTTCCCATAAATTAATATCATCTGACTTGATCCTTTGTTTTAACAGTTTTTAAAATTCTTTTCTTTGAACTTTATGATGTATGCACACGATGTATTTTGATCAACTCGCTCTTACAGCCGATTTTGTTATGTTTGTTTCATGTATTTGTCAGTAAACAGTTTATAGCTATAATGTTTCTCTTTTTAAATTATATATATAAACCAACATCAGATAAAGTTTCTTTATCTTGTAAGGATAAACAGTTTCACAAGTGTTAGACTAACAGACTTTTTCTCTATCTATGTTAAACTATTATACACAGTTCATGTCTTAGTATCTGTTATGATATAAATATTTATACAATACATAATCATTGGCTTGAGTTAACTGTTTGTCGTATATTTATGTCTGTATGTTGAATTGGTCAAAAGCATACACTTTCAAGATACTCTACCAAAACTGCAATGCACCATTTATGAATTTTCAAGATTGGTTCGTTTATAAATAAAGTATTGTTGCCAGAAACATATTGGTAAATCATTTGCTAAAAAAAATGTTTCCTTGGCCTGGCTCTATTGAATGAAATATTTAAACTAAAATATCTGATTCGCTGTATCTTTGGAAGACAGTTTCACAATTTGGAAGATTTCATTCAAAATACAGTTAAATATCCATCTTGGAAAGAGACCGCCCCCCCCCCCCCCCCAAAAAAAAAAAAAAAAAAAAAAAAAAAAAACAACAACAAAAAACCCTCCATCTCTGAAAACTAAACAAGAAAAAAAACAAGTTCAAGTGAACACCTTCAGCAGTTTTAAAGAATGGGCTTGGCCAAAAACTTTCTATACAATTTACTGAAATCCATGCCACTGTTAAGGGCTTCTGACGAAATGCCTACCAGTTAAGATCTCAAATAGATGTGTTTTATGCAATAATCTGTAATAGTTGATAATATTTGAAGATGCATGCAAAATTAAAACCAAATTGTTATGATATGACAATGCTACACAGGTGATTAGTATAGTCCCATTATTCTTCAGATTATAAGATAGTCAAGCTGAAAATTTGTGGAAAACACCTTGCTGGAAATGACATACATTGTATTTCATATCCTACATATATGATAAGTTGATAACCTCAATTTGCATTTATTAGAGCATATTGTCATAATACCATGTTCAGGTTTACTGACAGATAAAGACATAAGGTGCTTCTTTATGTATTATATTTCATTGTCTGGATGGAATATAACAAGTAGTCTTCTATAGCCTTATACATGTAGACTGTAGGTTCAAATATCAGGTCTGCTTTTCAAAACTTAAACACAAGATTGTTTATAATTTTTATTTATTTGTAATATATTAGAATCTTTTAGAATAATTGTAATACAATGAAGTAAATGCAATGAAAATAAAAGTGTTGCTATTACAGTTAGCAAAATATATTCAAATTACAAAGCTACCATGTGAAAAAACATCAAACAATTGCCTTAAGTTTATAATATCAAAGCTTAATTTCAGTACAAGAAAGTAAAACTTTCATTTAGCACAATATCATTACAGTATCTTTCATCATGAATTCAAAGAAATATACTGATTTCAAGCTTTATTAAAATGGCATAACTGGCAGGCACATGTATAAACCTTGTAGGCCATAACATACTAAATATCTTAAATGGTCGTGTTTATACTTCAATATAGGCAAACCCTTTATAAGTTTGAGTAAAAACAATTTAACTGACATAATAGCAAACAGTGATCAGATGGCAGGACTGTGCTAGCTGCTCTTGGTCTCCTCTGTTTATGTTTTTATTATCAGTTGTTTCCAGCAGGTTATAGATAAATGATATTACATCAAATCACTAGTCATAATACACCTTATCCTTAATTGACCACAGACCACAGTTACAGTGTTAATAAATTAAACAAGAGGGCCATGATGGCCCTGAGGTCGCTCACCTGTATAAAGGCCCCCCCCCCCCCCACCCCGGGCCAATTTTTACCCAAGGGCTTTTATTTGTTTATTTGAACAGACTTGGTAGACACCCATAAGAAGATGTTTCATGCTAAACATCTAAGTTCTAGCTCATTGGCTTTTTAAAAGAAGATTTTTAAAGTATTTACTATACACATATAGTTAAAAACAATGACACCCCTGGGGCAGGGCCAGTTTTGACCCCCGGGCGTTCATTTTAACAAACTTTGTAGATATTTACTTAAAGATGTTTCATGCTTAATATCTAAACTCTAGCTATTTGGGTTTTTCCAAAGAAGATTTTTAAGTTTTTGCTATACACATATAAGGAAAATCAATGATCTCCCCCGGGCGGGGCCAGTTTTGACCCCAGGGCTTTTATTTGAACATACTTGGTAGACACCCATTAGAACATGTTTCATGCTAAATATCTTAGCTCTAGCTCTTTGAGTTCTTTAAAAGAAGATTTTTTAAGTTTTTACTATATGCATATAGGGAAAATCAATGACCCCCTGGGGCGGGGCCAATTTTGACCCCAGAGCTTTTATTTGAACAAACTTGGTAGACACTCATTAGAAGATGTTTCATGCTAAATATCTTAGCTCTAGCTCTTATGGTTCTTTAAAAGAAGATTTTTTAAGTTTTTACCATATGCATATAGGGAAAATCAATGACCCCCGGGGCGGGGCCAATTTTGACCCCAGGGCTTTAATTTGAACAAACTTGGTAGACACTCACTAGAAGATGTTTCATGCTTAATATCTTAGCTCTAGCTCTTTGGGTTCTTTAAAAGAAGATTTTTTAAGTGTTTACTATATGCATATAGGGAAAATCTATGACCCCCTGGGGCGGGGTCAATTTTGACCCCAGGGCTTTTATTTGAACAAACTTGGTAGACATTCACTAGAAGATGTTTCATGCCAAATATCTAAGCTCTAGCTCTTATGGTTCTTTAAAAGAAGATTTTTTAAGTTTTTACTATATGCATATAGGGAAAATCAATGACCCTTGGGGCGGGGCCAATTTTGACCCCAGGGCTTTTATTTGAACAAACTTGGTAGACACCCACTAGAATATGTTTCATGCTTAATATCTTAGCTCTAGCTCTTTGGGTTCTTTAAAAGAAGATTTTTTAAGTTTTTACTATATGCATATAGGGAAAATCAATGACCCCCAGGGGCGGGGCCAATTTTGACCCCAGGGCTTTTATTTGAACAAACTTGGTAGACACTCACTAGAAGATGTTTCATGCCAAATATCTAAGCTCTAGCTCTTATGGTTTTTTAAAAGAAGATATTTAAAGTTTTTTCTTTTTGTTGCCATGGCAACCAGAGTTCTGCATGGAATTAAATTCTTTGAACAATTTTTAAAGGTGACCACCAAAGGAACATTCCTGTGAAGTTTGGATGAAATTGGCTCAGTGGTTTATGAGGAGATGTCATTTAAAGCAAAAGTTTACGGACGGACGACGGACGGACGGACGGACGCCGGACGAAAAGCGATCACAAAAGCTCACCCTGTCACTTTGTGACAGGTGAGCTAAAAAAATCGTAAAATTTGTTTAACTTAATATATTAAAGATTACTTTAACAATGCCATAATAACAATTCTATTTATGACATAATTATATAAATAAGAGAGGTAGACTGTTAAAAAAGAGTCATTTTTCATTGACGCGCCTATAGCGTTACGCTAACATAAGTGCACTTTAACGCTATGTTTCTTTATAGCGCAAATGACATCATGTCAAAATGTTATTACACTAGTGTAATAATGTTTTTATAAAATGGCTTTATTACACTCCTGCGCCATGGTTTATGTGATAAATTATGAAAAGTAATACATGTAAATCATAAATTATTTTTGCACATGTATCACAAGTCTGCTTAACAACCATTGATTGGAAAATAAATTTTATGATTTTAATGCTATCTTCTGGCAGGATTTTCTCATGGGTATTGGTACTGTCTAGGGTCAAGATTTGTATAAGTATGTGTGTTTATATCACAGTTCATCAACTCTACATAACTTCTTGTTGGTGGTACAGTTGCGGCAAGCATTACTGATGGGTCACCTTCATCTTTTCTCTCCTGTATATGTGGATGCATCATAGGTTCCTCATATGCTGGAGTTTTCTCAGACAGATTCTCATTGTTCTGCTCAGTGTCATTTGTACAAGGAGTGGAAAAAGAAGTTTCTTTTTTTCTTAAATCAATCGCAGTCTGTTTCACTTTATGCACGGACAATGAGTGTTTCCCAATATTTTCCTTACATGCACTTGTATAGTTACACATTGGACATTTAAATGGCTTTTCCTTAGTGTGTGTTCTAAAATGCTGTTTTAAAAGCGTGCTGTTGAAGAAAGATCGGTGACACTCTTCACAATTATATTTCCTGTTTTTCTCATCATGTCGCTTCTTATGAACACGTAGCGCCATCTGGTTCTTGTAGACATTACCACAAGTATCACAGACTACAGGTGCTTTTAAATGAACAGCATTCTTATGGCATTTGATCTGATGTTTGGTTTTAAATGTTGCTCCACATATGTCACAGGGTAGCACTTTCAGTTCTTCCAATTCTTTCTCTTTCTTTCCACAAGCCAGTTTCTGATGGTGAATGAATGAATAGTAGCCTCCCTTTAATACTTTTCCACACATGTCACATTGGTAATGTTTAAGGAGTGATACACAGTCAGTGTGGTTGGTCTCTTTCTTGTGTTTCCAAAGTTCTTTGCCTGAAAAATATTAAATTTCTTTGCCCTACAGTTAAAGAAACTATATGACATTCAAAGTGGAGGCATATTTGTCCCCAAAAGCATAATTCATATAGTACTATTTATAAAGGTCTAGTAGACAATGGTATATGCCAAATACAGAGGCATAGTATTTATCAACTTAAAGATAAGATGTGTTTTCCTATATTATATAGTAGTCTATATGAGGCAAGTGACTCCCGGGGCAGAGCCATTTTTGACCTATGGATCTTGATTAATATAACTTTTGTAGAAATCTACAAATTGATGCTTCATGCCAATAATGTTAGCTCTGGCCTTTGTAGTTTCACACAATAAGACTAAAATGTGTTTTCCCATTATCAAGAGACCCGTTGCGGGCAATTTTTACCCTAGGGGCATGACTTATATCAATTTTGCAGACATTCACAAGGTTATGCTACATGTTTAATAACTTAGTTCTTGGCATTGTAGTTTCACAAAATAAGGCTGAAATGTGTTTTCTCATACAAGACTATATTAATTAAGCAACCCCAAGGGCGGGCCACCATTGACCCTAGAGCCAGAGGCAACAAAGCAATGCTACAAGTGATGTCTAGTAATTGAATGCTCATACAAAAATGTTATATGTTTTGTATTACCTGTTGACCTATTTGTTTCTGCAAATGTCAGTGACAAATATAAGCACATCATTTAAATTGATTAATCAATTTTACTGTAAGAAAAGTGCAGAAACAGTTAAAGATCCTGTAACTCAATTTTTATGGTTTTATATCATAAATTTAATGCTAACATAAAGAGTTATTAATATTCTGATCTTCAAATAAAGAGTTATCAATATTGTAAGTCGAAAACAGCATTATTTGTAAAGATATTACCAAATTTACCTTTCATGTAAATAAAGGGAGGTAATTTCGATAAAGTCTAAGCCAAATTTTTTAATAAGAAACGAATGCATACATTTTAATGATTACTTATAATGCGTATAAACATTTGCAGTACATATTTAACATATTCTTCAATGTTTGGAAATTGTTTTAGAAGAATAATTACATACATATATAAAATTTCACTTAAGTGTTGTTACATCCTTAATTACAACATACCTTTTATAAAGGCAAATTTGCAATGTATAAAATTAATGTAATACTTACGTGTTTCAAACTGTGTATCACAAACTGCACATATGGGTGTAGGCATCATGTCTCTATGAGCATAGTACAGATGCTTCCTCAACATTCTGTCATTATGGAAGAACTTCCCACAAGCATTACACTGTATATGTCCCATCTCTCTCAGCTCTTCTGGTGTATGCTTGTCTTTCTCAAACTGTTTTGGCACTTCCTTAGGAGGTTCATGTCTCACCTCATCTCTATGTCTCCACAGCTCTTCCTCTGTATAGAAAACAAGAATATCCATAATATCAATGGCTGCTAAATTTTTTAAAGCATTTTTACAGTTCATTTCGAATTATGATTAAAAGAAAAACATAAGAATTTGTAAAACATTTAAGCCACAAAAGAAAGTTCATGAATTGCTTCAGATTAAATTTGATCAAAATACATGATAAAAACCTATGGCAGAGTTGAAAAGCTACTAAGCAGTTTTCTAACCCTAACAGTTAATACAATTTTGAAGTTTGTTTTTTACACTTCTCTTAAATGCATAGAAGTTAACTTGTGATTAGTACTGGTTACTAAGAAAGAAAAATGTGGAACACCAAGGCAACTTACGTGTTTTAAACATACTAGGGCAGTCTGCACATTTAAACTCAAACCACTCATCAGGGTGACGTCTTAGGCAATGTCTTTTTAGAATGGACTTCGTTGCCAACTCTAGATCACAAAGTGGACATTTCACTCTCCTTTTAGTGTTCTTAAAAATTCTTTCTTTCTTTTCAGAAACTAGTTTATTCATTTTAGAGCTCCCCCTTCTATTTCTGGTTTGATCAGTCTTTCTTTTCAAGGTTTTGTTTTCTACAATTTTTTCTTCAATATTCATGCCTGTATCACTTTCATAATCATCTATGTCATCGCCATTTTCATTATCATCATCATCACAGTCACTATGTTCACCTTCCTCTTCAGATCTATAATCAACATCAGAACTCTTCATTCCTGCAACCTTCTTATAGTCAACCTTAACCTTTGTTGTCTCTACAGTATCTGACTTAATATCACAACCAGACTGTGTCTCAGCAGGGAAAATGTTTCTGAATCCACTTTCAGTAATGCCTCTAACTGTTTCATCTGACAAAACTGAAAGAAAGTTTCATTCAATTATAATAATACCTGTAATATATAGATTCTACATAGGGAAAATGTGTATTGTAACCGGTTTAAATAAGTGTATAAGATGTCAGTTTAAACAAGATTTACACAATAGTATTTTAAAAAATACAAAATTGTATGCGAATAAAAACCTGGTCATGTCAAGAATCTTGTAAAGACAAGTTGGAAATGACAATACAGTGTATAAGGTGTTTAACATATCAAATTGAAATACTTATAAAATGTCAATATAATTATGCATACAAAAGAATGATTGACAAGATTACATGAAAATGATTCTTAGGTTTTACATATTTCAAAACTCATGTCAATTTCAAATTTTACATTAAACAAACACTATCACTTGTCATTGAAAGACTTAAAGGCACGGCACATAAAGCTTCAAGAATGCTTTCTTTTTTTCATTCTCAAAAACTTTTTTATATTTTTTGGTATACTGTCTTACAATTTTTGAAAAGTACTCATTGACTATACAGCTGAATGATTTTTTGCTTCTTTTGCATTTTGGAATTTAGTACAGTTATAATGATACAAATCATAAAGTATTTTGTAATTGGAAATCAAAATACCACTTTGTTTACATATTGCTACCTGTATATCAAATTAGTTCACATTCAGCACTACTTACTTACATGTACATAAACATCAAATACATGTACATATACATGTATGCTTGAAATCCATTATGAAATATTATTAAAACAATTTTTCCATTCTGAAGAACAATAAAAAGTATTTTTCCAAAGTCACAATGTCACAATGTGCCTATAATTATATAACTTTTAATTAAAGTTTTAACGTTTTTTTCCTAACACAAACTATGTAGGTAACTATATATATATTTACACATCTATTTTTTATTATTATCATTAACACATCTTACTGTTCATGAAGCATGGCCAATTTTTTGTTTCAAACAGCAACCTGATGGCATTCTCTTGATCTGATGAGATCAACATTGTTACATGGTACTGTAACGCCTCTCCACCCATTCCTACTTTCCTCTTTATTTCAATCTTGTCCTACAGAACTATATAAACATGTACCAGCAGGCTCTGACTTAACCCAATTCCAGGTCATCAGGTAACAGTGAATTGCAAACAATATGAGCAGTAACAAATTATCTTTTGAGGTGCTGAAAAAAAATATCATAGCCATTAAGGAAAAATTATTATCACTTTTTAGATAATATAACAACAATACTATGTAATAGTATATTTATTACCAGGTAATTTATGTGAATTGAAAAACAATAAAGACCAAGATCAAATTTATCCTTTTTTAGACAATTGATGCTTTAAACATGTCATGAACAATGTAAGTATATATATACTCATCATCAAAGTATATAATGATATATACTCATCATCATCATCATACTGACAAATTTATCATCAACAATTTACATCAAAACAAGTAACATTTACATGTAACAAGAGCTGTTGGTGGTATTTAGGACAGTGTGATCAACTGTTCTCAGTGCTTGATAGTAAAACAATTAAGAGACTTAAGATACTTCTGTAGAATTTTTTAAGTTCAAAAAGGGACTTTAATATTCTGTCAAAAATTGACAACTAAAATTATCTTTCTGTTAATCAGTAATTTTTTTTGACAAAATACTCATTGTCTTATTTATTTTCTTGCAGTAATTTTCAGTAGTTATTTTGTTCTCTTAAAGCACGTTACACCTCCATCAGATTCAAGAAAATCTACCATTGTACTAGTTTTTCAAAATCTCTTTTCATTAAGGCTGCTATATTTATATTTTTTTTGTAAATGTGACAGGATTGCAAAATACAGAAACAATGCTGTTTAAATGTTGGTACTGTTAATAATTTTTACTTGCATTTAAAAGGCCAATTTGATTTAACCTACTGCATGTATCTACTTCTACTTCATACAAACAAAAGATACTGTATAGAGGTCAAAGCGGGAGAGTCAGGACAAATTGTCTGCATTTTATCGCCCATTCGCAATTTCAAAAGATCAACTTCACATAAAAAGTATTAAGTCAACTGCAAACAAATAAACTACTTCAATTTTGATATTTTTTGCAAGAAAAAATTGTAAATAAATGATTACATCATAATATATCACAGGGCTTTTTTACCCTTGTTTGCTGTAGCCGGTATCCGGCTACTTCCCCAAGCCAAATTACTTGCAAGAAAGAATTGTAAATAAATAATTACATCATAATATATCAAAGGGCTTTTTAACCCTTGTTTGCTGTAGCCGGTATCCAGCTACTTCCCCAAGCCAAATTACTTCCTTTTCCCCCCAAAACGTTGTAAAAAAATTCCGCTTCTTGCAAAGATTTCCCCTTCAAAAGAAAAGACAAATCAAAGGAACAAAGTTTCTTGTTTAAAAATAGATTTATTATTGTTTTCCTCCAAAGAAAACTAATAATTCAATTACCCAGGCCACTAGATGGTAACTTACAGCCTCCATGTGGCCTCAATCTGATATTGCAATTTTCTAAAAACAGCATTGGAAAAACCCTGCCACAAGATAATAAGTCATGGCCACAAGACAATTATCTAGAGGCCACAAGATAATAACACAAGATAATAACTTGTGGCCACGAGATAATATCATGAGGCCACAAGATAATATCTTGAAACCACAAGATAATAAGTCAATTTGCAATGAGATAAAATAATACTGCAAATGTCACCTCTATGCCACCATAACTGTGTTAATTAATAATAATCTAATTCTTATTTTTGCATAATTTCTTACCTGTTGTTACCAATTTTTTTTTAGTATAAATTACTTTTTTTTCACATGATATAAAAATTAAATAGTCAAATCTTAGTATGTCACATTAAGTGGCTAGCCGTACGGGTCCCTATATGTGGACAAATACGGATTCTTGGTTAAAATACTCATTTAAAGGCACAAAATAAAATATGAATTTTCCGCTTATATATAATTTTGAAAAGTGCCTTACGACTAGGCACTGCCGTAACAGTACACTGTTGTCCTCATGGCTAGCCATACATGACTCACACACAGCTAGAACTTTTGGCTTGCCGTATGACTAGCAATCAAATAAATGTATCTTTTTATTCAACTAATGCATATTGTAATTGCATGCATTCCATTTATACCTATTTACCATATTTACCGCACTGAAACGTCAATTATTTCATTGCAAAACAACTCATTCCAATCACAGGCGCTAGTCACATTATCAAATATTTTACATTACCGGTCTATATATGTATATAAAGATATCTTATTATAGTATATAGCCCATATAAAACTTTAAAAAGTTTGTGTCAAGCACCTGTGTTCCTTATACTGTACACTGAAGGAATTTTGGTAGGCTATTTGTACAAAATATCAATATTTTAAACGTTTTCCTTCTATCATCTCTTAATTTCTTCTCTTATCATAATTATAGTCGATAGATAAAATCATACCACATAAAGATTCTTACCAAAAGTAAAGATAATTGCGAAAGAATGACAAAATCTCTTGATGTTTACTTTTCTCAAAACACTGTATAATTCCCGTCCACAGTCCGGTACATTCACCGTCCCGATTAACAGACAATTCGAGACACTGATGCCGTGTGATTAGTAACTTACGCTGTTCATAATCATTAGTTCTTGTCTATATAATCACATATAATTTTAAAATAAATGAAATATTAATCATCACGCTTCATTTTTACTTAGAATGCAGTCTACTGTATGGTACGGCTTTCATGCTTGACATATCATAACCGGTATTTATACCGGATATTAGACAGGATTTAAACTTGGATAAATAAAAAGAAAAAAGACATAGAATTATTCTGCAATGTAAGAATTATTGTTTAAATATTTCAAATGATTTGAATTTCAGGTAACAATGATCATGATTAAATATAATTCGTATCTGAATTGACTAAAACTGTTTCATAATCAGTTTATTCAACTCACTTCACTAAACTCCTATAATTTATGTTAGTAACAGTTTACATCACAACAACGGCTTACAGACACTTAACCCCCCAGACACTTCACCCTAGGCCCTTTTTTGCAGACACTTCACCCCTCAGACAGTTCACCCCTCATTTTAAGAAATTTGATTGAGACACTTCACCCCTCATTTTTTTTATTTTGTGTTTAACAATTATTTATGTAGATTATGTTAAAAACATTCAATAGTGATTGAGTATGTTTATTGTTTTAACCCATTGTCTAATAAATTTTGAGTTGATTTAATTCTAGAAGTTTTGGTACTTAAGTTTGTTTTCAGTTTGATCCTTACCATATAATAATCATTGAGTTACGTTCATTTGGTGATGGTTTGTGCTTTAACCTTGTGCTTAATTTACATAACTCGGGTGCTATTTATTTGTTTAATAAATGACATTATGAATGATCTTTGTATTAAATGCAGGATAATTGTGTCTGATAATGATGGTAAATAATTTATATTTACTATATTTTATAAAGCAACTGATTCACTCATTCATATTCATTTATATTCATTTTATTTATTTATTTAATTTATTTAATAAGAATTAATAAATTTAATTCAATTATCTAATCAATTGTGAGATAACCGTTGAATAAACAACTAATCAACATGTTGAATAAACAAGGTGACATGCCATAAACACTTAATGGATGAAAGTGCCGTGATATATCAAAAGGCAATACATTGAACCAATTAACCTAAATCAGCTTAAACTTAGTAAAAATGAAGGTAATAAGCAAAATTTTTAATCAAATAGATCTAATACTAAAAATAATATATATAAACATTTATAAGCATTTTGTTGTTGACCAACTTGTTTTATTTACTTTATAGAAAAAAATTGGATGAGGGGTGAAGTGTCTTACTGATTTTGGGGGGTGAAGTGTCTTAAGGGGTGAAGTGTCTTCAAAATTTAAGGGGTGAAGTGTCTGGGGGGTGAGGTGTCTTGCTACCACAACAACAGACCTGTGTCAAGTACTGAGTAGCAGCCGTAAAAAGTTGCCCCGTACTTCACTTCAGTGTTGTTTTGTTGTTGTTTTTTATTATGTTATTTTTCTGGTCCTTCAAGATCATTGAGTCAAGCACTTTAAGTGTTGAGAATTGAGTTACCGCCTTACCGGAGCTAGGGCCAGTAGGGGGCATGAGGGATGTTGCACTTTTTCATTATATATATCCATTCCCTCATGTACAGACTCAATCAAATTAATTCGTCAATTTTCATGTAATTTTGTTGTTTTTAATGCTTCAGAAGGATCACTTTTTTCATGATTTAGTCATTTACAAGATTGTGCACAAACTGGACTAGGTTGCAGTCGTAACCCCTACCCCTTACGTTTAGCCCTCTCTCTGTCTCACCTGACACTTGCATCCTCTTTCTTTCAGGCAGATCCTCACTCTATGTAACTTCAGTCTTCTGTACATAATAATTATTCCTTTTTCCAGCAACTATAGTTCTCTGGAACTCACTGCTATCTGAACTTGTGAAGGTCCCTACCCTGGACCAATTTAAAAAGGGGGTGACCATTCTTCCTGACAGTGTTTGAAAATGAAAATATTGCTTTATCTGTTTTAGCAGGACTGTATACTTTCACTTTTTAGCTTACACTATCAACATTTTTTTTTTCAACTCTCACAAATACATCTACAGTATTACTTTTATTCTCCTTTATACAGTAATTATATTCCTAACAGTACTTGTCAGGTACACAGTACTTGTTGCACATAAATCATAATAAAATAAATTACCTAGTGTTGAAGGACAGGCCAAACACTGGAAAAAAGGTAAATACAGTTTGGTCCATTTAAGTTCAACACCAGCTGGTTAAAATATTGTCCAATCAGGATAATATGACATAAAACATTGTATTTCGAGAAATATCATATTCCTTTTCATGAATAGATCACCTTTTCATTATTTTGTTAAATAACATTAAAGTACTTCATATTATATGACATAAACAGAAAGAAAAATATTTGGTTTTGTAACTGTCACAAGTTTTATGAGAATTATTTCCCCTTGTTCATGTTTAAAATAATTTATAACACATTATTTGTGAAATCTGTTACATATGCATTAAGTTCATAACAAAATACGTTAAAATAACTTCTTAATACTCTACATGCTCTAATTCATGGCACCAACACCTGTCATGGGGCACATTTATGATAACAGGGCTGCAGACCATTGTGTACCAAATATTTTTGTACCAAATATTTTTGTTACAGTATTTAACATTAATTTTCAGTTTGTGCATATACATACATGAGAACTAGGTTTTCCATATTTTCTATCTACATATTGATTATCATTTTAACACTTGTTTCTTTCTTTTACAGAGCTTCTGCATCAGAGATTATAAAGCAACTATGGGCGAACTAAACCACTATCATATCACTATGTTAGTTGACTCAGAAAAAGAAAATGCTATAAGGTCTTTATTCATTGACAAGGATTGGCCATGCTTATTGAAAGGTAAAAAATGAAGAATTTTTATCTTTTAAATTTTTTTTTTAAAGAATTTCATTGTGCATAATTATGTTATTAATTGTTTTGATTAATTATTTTGGTATTGTTTGGCCAGTTATGATTATTTTAAGCATATGTGTTCAGAAAATGAAATTCAGTGAAATTTAAACTAGGTATTTAACTTTTTTCCCTGCATGTTAATGCAAACTTCTCCACATACAAAACAATTGTGATTATAGCAAATAATTGGTGCTGCACATAAGTAAAATTAAATTTTCAATTCTTTTAGAGCTTTTTGATGTAAATGTTGCCTCTTGCCTCTAGTAAATATCTTTTTTATGTACAATGTATTATTATTAAATAGCTAGGCTAGCCACCTTGTTTCCCCTCTCCAAATTGGGAAGGTTAGGTAGATGGAAAAATTTTTTTTTATCTAGAATAAATTTTTTATTGAACATATATTATTTACATCTGAAATACATGTATATAGATATCAAAACACAGAAATTATAATTACATATCTTTTAAAAGTTAAGCAGCAAAATTTAACAAATAACCCATTTACAAAGCAAAAACTTGAGATGAATATAAAGAGATAGCTCCACTTGTAACATTGACTGTCACCACTTGAGTATGTTAAGTAAAAACCAACCCTATTACAAGTAGAGAAACTGAAAGCGAACAGCATGGATCCTGATCAGACTGCGCGGATGCGCAGGCTGGTCTGGATCCATGCTGGTTGCAAACGCACTATGTTGGTTTTGTCATGACGCGGCTCATTTGATTTTAGGGCCTAAACTGAATTTAATTTCCTACCCTATTGTTTCTGTAAACTCAAACTATTACCTTTTGAGTATTCTGATATATTACTGTTAATGAACAAGGCAAACTGTTTGATTCAAACATTTATATTTCAGTTGTGAATGATGATATTGTAACAGACATAATTGAGAGTGGATATACAGATATATTTACAATTGTAACTGCTGGTGATGATGAAATCTTTAAAGATACTGAAGAAGACAAATTAGAAGGTATAATTGTAAAGACAAAGGAAACCCATGTAGAAGATCTCAATGAAAAGTCTCATAGTAAAGAGAGTGAACCACTTTCTAACAATGATGACAATTTGTGGAAGGTCAAGGCCCAGATAACGGACAGTGAAGTTAAGTCTCAGACAACAGACACTGAATATATTGATGGTGATCAATTTAATGACTTCAATGAGGAATCATCAAGAAAATGTAGAAATACCTCAAAAAAGAAGACAAATTGTACAAAGCTCGCAGTGTCATCAAGTAAACAAAAAGAGAAAATAACAAGAGACAAAGAATGCCAGCAGTCTCAGTCAAGTTATAAAAGTGAAGCAAGTGCAAGTCAGGAACTAAAGAAAACAAAGTTTCAGTGTTCCATGTGTGGACTGTACCTAGCTACCAAAGCTTCCCTTCACAGGCACTGCCAGTGTCGACATGGAGAAGAATGGTTTGAATTTAAATGCAATGATTGTCCTTGTATGTTTAAGAAAGGTGAGCCTTATCTGAAATGCTCTCATTTTGAATAGGTTAATAGGGTAGAAGGTGGGGGGGGGTGCTTTTTTCACTCTTTACTTATAGCAAATGTTTCATCATTTATGTAAATTTTTGGACTGTATGTCTCTACACTTATTACAGCTGTTTCTGTGTTGCAAAATATACACCCATTGTTATCATTATGTATATTTTTCTTCTGTTTATGCCCCCGGCCATAAAATGGCCAGGGCATATAGTGTTACCCTGTTCAGTCATTCTGCCCTTCTGTCTGTTCATCCTTCTGTCATTCCATCATCATCAGTTTCTGCTGTATATTATATTGGTAACAGTTGTCATATTCAACTCATATTTGACATATGGATATATCAAAGGAAAATGCAGATCAAGTTTGAATTTGTTCATGGTCCAGTGATTTTTGACAGAGTTGCAATAATATTATATGTATCTTTCCGTTCTCATATTTTTTGGAAATGTATGAAGTCATTATTACGGCTACAAATATACAAATATTGAATGTTTAGGTTAAGACAGTTCACAAAATTTCATGCACCCTTGACCTTCAAGCTTCATAAATTTTTATGCATTTCTTTTGGTCAGAAGATGACCTTAATGGATTTTAGGGGTCAAGGGGTCGAAGGTCAGGATCAAATTGACTTTATAGGTAATAAAACAAATTCAAATCAATATCTCAACAACAAACGGGCCCCTTACCTTCAAACTTAATATGTGCTTTGGTCTTAGTAGATTTAATTGATTTAAGGGTCAAAGGTCAAAGTCACATTGACCTTGAATGTAAAACGCTGCCTAATGGTTGAATTTTCTATTAAACTAAAATAAAAATTAAATTAAACTAAATAAACAAACATACATGTACATGTATCTTTTTAAAATTAAATTTGTTAGTTTGTAGATGGCAAAATTCTTGTAGTGATATCGAATTTAATACATGCATACATTTCATTTGAATTTTGATAGATATGAATTAAAAAAGTAATTTTTATTCATGTATCATTATATCAATATGTTATATCAAATTTAATGTACATATTTCATTACAGTTGAAGAATTATGGAAGCACAGAAATGATGTGAAGCACGACCCTCCGAAGGTAAATCCAAAATTTTCAGAAAAGAAAAATCTCAGTCCTGAAGAGTTAGAGCAGCTGGGACATTTAAAGTGCAATGCTTGCAGCAAAATATTGCCAAGTAGACGGTTATTAAGAAGACATTATTATGCTGATCATCGAGAGTGTATGCCAGGGCCATTATGTGCTGTGTGTGGAACAGAATTTAAGACACGTAAGTTGTCAATTTCAACGTTGCCTAAAGTCTTTCGTGTTTTATTGATTTCAAATCACTTGTCTCTCGCCATACTTGGGAGTGTAAAGCCAGGTTGGTGTTTCTGTAAAAAAAATTAAAGGTGAAAACTTGTCGTTTAAGGTCAATTTTCTATGTCATCACTAATGAAGTTATTTCTTTGAAACTTCACACATTTCTTTGAGGTTTGCTGAGGAACCTAACTTTAGTTATCATTGAATTTCTCTGAATTATAGCCTTTTATAAATTTAGGTAATTGAAAGATAAATTTTAACATTTTCTGAAGGTATTTAATCAAAATTTCACACATGTGTTTATGGGATCATAAATGAAAGTACATGTAATTGCCCAAGAAGCAATTATATGGCAAGGATTTTATTGAATTATTGCCCTTTTTGAACTTAAACAAATTTTTGGTTAAAGGTTTTGACGCTATATCATTTGCTGAAACTACTGAAAGTATTCAGTTGAAACTTTACACACATCGTTTAGATCATAATAGAAAGTCAGAATCCAAGACCCATAAAATTAGCCTTAAGATTGACTCAATTGTAGCCTTTTGTGCATTAAGAAAATTCTTGGTAAATGTTTTGCATGCCAGATCAATTTCAAAAACTGTAGGGGATATACTCCTAAAACTTCACACTTGTTTTTAAGATCAAAATAGTAAAGTTCATCTAACGAAACCCCTAAGTCTGGCATTCATTTTGCTTGAATTGTTGCTCTTAGTGAAAATAAGAAACTCTAACTACATGTATGCAATGGTTTTAAAATGAAAACTCTTTTTTTATAATTCCTGTACTGTCAAGGTTCATGGTTTGCAATCAAGCAGTTTGAATAGTCAAAAGTCCTGTTCTATTGGCCTCTATTGTTTTAACCCCTAGTTCTTTTGAATAAGCTTCTGTAATTTGCCCCTTATCCTCCATCAAAGTCATCTCTAACAGTTTTAGCATTAAACTTGTATATACAATGTATAAGGAAATTGGTTTCAAAGACATAAATAAATCATGCACTTTTTGCAATTGTTTTAAGGTAAATACAATAAATAGTCCTTTACAGGAACAAACTTTTATTGTAACCTTTTGTATCATATACATTTATTTGTTACAGGTCAGGAGTTGTGGAAACATAAGCGTGAAATGAAACATAATGACAGTTTATCCTTATTACAAACCTATCAATGTGAAGAGTGTGGGAAAGTTTTAACTGGTGGCTTCTCCTCGTTCAAACTACATCAGAAATTTGCATGTAAAGAAGTGGAGGAAGGACCCCAGATTCCATGTGACATATGTGGAAGTTTGTTTAAGTCGAAAACCCATGTGCAACAACATAAAAAGAGAACACACATTAATGTACCTGTCGTCTGTGATATTTGTGGTACAGTGTGTAAGAATAAACATTCTCTAAATAGCCATAAAAGAAGGCATGACTCGAAGAATAAGAAACATGTTTGTGATAATTGTGGGAAAGCATTTATTACTAATCTTCTCTTGATAATGCATATGCGTACACATACAAAAGAGAAACCATTCAAGTGCCCCTTATGTGATCATAGATGTGCAATAAAACAAAACATACAGAAGCATTCAGTGAATGTTCATAAAAGACAAATAAAATGTGCTGACATAATAACAGTGTCTGGGACAGAACTACAGGATTATAATTCAGCAAAACAACATGACGAAGAATTCAAAGCAACCCATGGTGTTGTTGATAGTACAAAAATGCACACTCATGGGAAATCACTTCATAGAAAAGACTGTAGGCAAAATGACAAAATAATAGATTTTCAAAATGATTCGAACAATTTCAGTCCTGAAATGTATAGAAATAATACTGACAAAGGATATCAATTTAACGCAATGGATGTAGCGTATGATTTAAGTTTATGTAAACAGAATCAAGAGGTCAGTGCAGGAAATGAAATTCAGCCGGTGTCTGTTGATTTCCATCCTGGCAGCAATGTTGCTGTCACAATATCACCTGCTGCAAATTATACAGAGTTAACAACCTGTAAACTTAATCCATTTTCATATTCTCAAACCAACATGGACTCCTCCCAGTTTCAAACTTCATGGGGAAATACTTAAAATAGATAGCATTAATTTTATTTTTGATAAAGATACTTAGTTAAATTGTTTTAAAAAATGGAAATAAACAGATTAAAATGAATTGACTATTTTGTACCCCATTATTATCCCCCCCCCCCTCTTCAAAGAAGAGAGGGTATATTGTTTTGCTAATGTCTGTCGGTCTGTCAGCTGATAGATCACATGGTTTCTGCCAATTGTCTTGAAAACTATTTATCACAAAGTCCTCATATTTCAAATACTGAATGGTCAAAATAAGAAAATGACCCCTAATGATTTTGGGATCACTAGGTCAAAAGTCAAGCTCACACTCGCAGGGGCCTTAAATTGCCCAATGGTTTCTGCTATTTATCTCTAAAACCATTTATCACAAACTCTTCATGTTTCCGTTTGATTAGTCATATGTAATAGATGACCCCAATTGATTTTTGGGTCACTAGCCCAAAAGTAAATGTCAGGGGCCTTAAATGTCAGAATGCCAATGGCTTCCACTCATTATTTTTAAAATAATTTACCACAAAATCCTCATATTTCACATACTGATTGGTCATAACTAGAAAATGACCCCTATTGATTGATTTTTGGGTCACTAGGTCAAAGGTCATAAGGGCTGTAAATGTTAGAATGCTTTCAGCTTATTATCTTAATCTTAAAATTATAAACCATTTATTACAAAGTCATCATATTTCACATATTGATAAGTCATATACAGTTGATGACTCCTATTGATTTTCGGGTCACAAGTTCAAAGGTCATGGTCACAGGGGCCTTAAATGTCAGAATGGTTTCCTCTGATTATCTTGAAGACCTTTTATCACAGTCTTTATATTTCACACATTGATTAGCAATATATAGTAGATGACCCCTCTTGATTTTGAGGACACTAGTTCAAAGGTCAAGGTCACAGGGGCATGGTGATCGCTCATTATTTTGAAAAATATTTATCACATTTATTCATATTTCATATACTGATTGGTCATAACAAGTAGATGATCACTAGATGGGGTCACTAGGTCATGGTCAATAGGGCCTTAGATGTTAGGATAGTTTCCGCTCATTGTTTTGAAAACTTTATTACAGTCTTCATAATTCACATTTAGATTTTGGGGTCATAAGTTCAAAGGTCATGGGGACCTAATATGTTGGAATGGTTTCCGCATAACTAGTAGATGACCTATCAATTTTGGTTTCTTAGGTCAAAGGTCACATGGATCTAAGATCTGTCTGTATGTGGGTAGAAAATATGGTTTCAAACGATTTCTTAAAAAACTATAGCAAAGTCTTCATATTACACATACTAATTAGTCATAACTTATAGATGGTCCTAATAGAATTTTTTGGCCACTAGGTCAAAGGTCAAGGTCACAGGGGCTTTAAATGTCAGAATGATTTCTGCTCATTAACTTGAAATCTGTTTGTCACAAAGTCTTCAGATTTCACATATTGATTAGTCAAAAGAGGGTAGAACATGTGTTTTCCACTGATTATCTGAAAAACTATTAATCACAAAGTCTTCATATTTCTAATTCTGCTTGGTCATAACTAGATGGCCCCTATTGATTTAGGGGTCAAAGGTCAAGTTCACAGAGGCATTAACTGTCAGAATGGTTTCTGCTTATTGTACTAATGATACAGTAAAACTGATGACAATGTATCACGCACAATGTCAAGCATAATGAGACTATGGTCACGAGGAAGACCTAGACTTCTATCTCTAAGATTAAGGTCGCACTAAGAGATCAAAGGGCAACAGTGAAAAATATGTTTGGCCAAAAATATGTCATGCATCAAGACATTTTGAAACAATTTGGCTCAAATGTTAAGCTTGGGGTGACGGTGTATTACGTATAAAACAAAATTTTGTCAGGCCTATAACTCTGTCAGTCATCAAGGGATATTAAAATAACTTGGAACAGATGTCAAGCATAATGAGACTATGGTCATGAGGAAGACCTAGACTTCTATCTCTAAGATTAAGGTCGCACTAAGAGATCAAAGGGCAGCAGTGAAAAATATTTATGGCCAAAATATGTCAGACATCAAGACATTTTAAAACAATTTGGCTCAAATGTTAAGCATGGTTTGACAGTGTATTACGCGCAAAATCCAAACCGTAACCCCAAGGTCAAGGTCACACTTAAATGTAAAATGTCAGCAGTAAGGAGATATGGTGTGGTTCATAAATCTGTCATGCCTCAAGGGATTTTGAAATATTTCGGTAAAATTACATGACATGATGAGGCAGTGTGTCATACCAAAGACTAGACCATGTGTCAAATGTCAGCACTCTAGTAAATCTCCGAACAATAACGTCAAGCATCAATAAATTGTGTAACATTTGGCATATATGTACATGTATAGCATCTGAAGAAGTGTGTTATGCACAAGACCAAGATTTCTAGCTCCAAGGTCTAGGTCACACATAAAGATCAAAGGTCAGCAGTTCAAAATATTGACCAGGCCTTAACTCTGTCATGCATCAATGGGATTTTGGAGTCATTTGGCAACAGAGTTCTTATTATCTCAGCAATTATGATATTTAATTATAAGCATTGCATTACTTTGACAATAAAAATAATTGGCACTTATTTTAAATCTTATATAACTTTAAAGTTTAGAGAGTTATGCTCAAGTACAGACTAAACTGAGAAATGTTGTGCCCCGTCACTCTAGTCTAAAATGAAGATCATGTGAATATTTTTGTTAAATTCACCAACAGCTTTCTTTTTTTCTTCCTGTCTTATTGCAAAATGTTTATGAAATACTGTGTTGTTACACTGTTAAATTCTTCGTAACCAAAAAAAAATACGCTCTTATTTTGGAAATGTTGCAAGAAGTAAATGTAAGTGTTGAAATTTTCCAAAGCGGCTGTATTACTGTTAAATGATTTACATCTTGACATATGAACAGAAAATAAAGCATAAAAGAAAGTTTTAAAACGTGGAATAATCTCTTAATATGATTACAGAAACACTTTAAATAGCGCAAAAATATCTGGGTTTACCGACCTCATTTTCGTCCTTGAATTTGAAAAGAGTGGATATAATTCCCAGTCATCATGGTCATGGTTAACAAAGCCTTATTTTTACAGTTAATCATACATGTTACTTTCATTCGGTTGATTGTCCTACATATTGATTTTTAATTAAATCTATACCGTTTTAGAAGGGATATTTCTGTCTCCATTCGGAAAAAGTTGGTCTTACGTAAAAAGAAGGGACTGTTTATAAGCAATCTCCTCTGCAGTGATCGCCCCTTATCAGTACAATTCGACCAAGGGAGGTAATCGCTGTGAGGAGTTTGGTTCCTAAGTAGAATTCTTTAAACCTTCCTAATTGCAAGCTTATAACTAGTACCCGCACACCAGTAAACGCACTGTGCCCATCCATGGGTATATAGTGAGTGAACAGGTGAAAGTCAAAATAAGGTTTACATTTTGCTCAATTTTATAATTCACTTTGCACTAGCCCTGTAACATCAGACGTTTCCTTTAGTACTGCGGAGTGTTAATTATTATGTGCTAGCTACCTACGTAGTTTAAAATATTTCAATTACAATTAAAGAGCCAACTTAGTCTTTTCCTTTTCAATTAACACTTGTAAGTGCAATTGCTACATATTTCTAATACTGGCTTCACCAAACATAACTATAGAGAGGTGGAGAAAGTTTTCAAGATCTGCGTATAGGACGGATACTTTTCAAAGTTGTTGGGATTTTGGGCAATTTATCTTGATATTATGATTTATAATGTTAAAATAGTAATACATAATTACAAAAGAAATCGTTGACCCAAAATAAAGAAAAAAAACTTGTAAAAATATAATTTATTATATCCTTTGCACTTACAGTTAAAGTCCTATCCGTGGCAGAAAATAGGATACCGGATACATGTAAAATAATTATTGATTATTTTTTAGTTGAGATTGGAAAGATGTTCAATTTTCAAAATATTTGAATTATTTTAAAACTGCATGATAATTGATAAATAAATAAAACATGCAAAACAGTCATGTTTCACATTGAAGACTTAAACAAAATAAGTAGTTGTGGGTTTTTTTTTCATGGCAATTATATATTATATGTTGTTGTTTATCTTTGATGTTTGTTTAGATCATGCAATATGAAATTTTCTTTCAGTCATGACCAGCTAATTTAAACTCGTGTAATAATCTTTTCTAGTGTTTAACTCAGTGGAATATATTTTAATTAGGTCTTACACTTATAACAACATATTTATTTTAATTCATTTTCAACAGATAAATAGGAAGAAGATGAGAGGAAAATATCCGAAACCATCGCTTTTCCGTGTAAGTTTTGCTTTCCCAACGGCATACAAGTATTACCCTACATAAAATAGCAGTGATGTTGATATTTGTTTGTACCCGAAAGTGTATCGTAAAATCTCATAATCACATGACGTGACTTACATACCCTATTATTTCAAACAAGGAAGTTGTTTTATGAAATATTTTATTTTTAAAAACGTTTGGTTTTCTTTTATTGCAAACAATATATTTGAACATATTTTGAAAGTTAGTTTTTTAAGGATGGCTCCTTTAACATGGATTATACTTATTTTTATCAACATGTCGTTTGTATTGTGTGTGAGAAAGTATTGTGTACGGATGGATTATACATCTCTAGAGTGTAACTATATTCCAACAGACATTCCAAATGGAGTTTCATCTGTTCGGCTCAATTTCAAGGAACCCATTTTAAATTATACTGTTAACGATACATTTTTTAGAACGTATAACTGGAAAAAAGTTAAAAAACTTGAATTAACATACAATTTGAGTGAACCTTACAGTCATTTTTACTTCACTTCAGCATGTTTTGCAGGTCTACATTCGCTGGAGGAATTACACATGCATATAATGGCAGGATTTAATATGAATTCAAACGTCTTCCATGGAATAGAAAAAGTAAGACTATTAGACCTGGATTCGTGTACGCGGTTCCCTTTGACTAATTTAATTCCATGCCTAGATGGTATTACAAAACTACCACGTTTAGAGAATTTGATACTGTCGAAACTTAATATTTTCTGGGATCCTATTGACATAGACACAAGATTTACAAAAACTCTTAAAGACAAAAATATATCCTCTTTAGATTTAAGCTCAACATTTATATCAAATATAAATTTTACAGCTGTTTTGTCAGACATGAGCAAGTTGAAAAGATTGAATGTTTCTCATTCATCTATCTCAAACACTGTTTTAATATATAACGCGAAACTAAAACAATTAAATATAGATATTTTAGATGGGAGCTATTCTACTTTATTTCGTTTCCTTCCATTTCTCAATTTAGTCAACATAACAAAGAACATTTCAGATCTGCCGAAATGGAACTTTTATCTCGCGCCTAAGGTTGTAAACTACAGTAATATCTTCCATGGTTTTGGTTACATTCGAATGATTAACTGCACGATAATAGTAGACACGCCTGTCCAATGGCAGAGCCATGAAATTATTTTCAGCAAAAACCGTTTAAAATACCTAGATTTAAAAATCCTTAGTGGCACTTACACAGCAGATATGATAACGCAGTTTGATTTAGCTGAGAACGAGCTCGAATTTCTACATCCAAGTCTTACAGCTTTGATGCCAAACATAGAAAAACTGGATCTCTCTAAAAACCAACTTTTCAAAATGGTCCAGGGACAAAAAGTAGTATTTGCACAGTTATTACTTTCATTGCGCCATCTTAAGAGAATAAATCTATCTTCAAATGATCTAAGTACCATACCGACAGAAATGTTTAAAGGTAATCATAATCTACAATTTATAGACCTTTCTTGGAACCAACTTGAACAGGTAACGTTTACCTTAAGCCATTTAGTAACCCTCGAAGTTTTACTGTTACAAAATAACAAAATTAAAGATTTCGATGTTTTATCAATGAGAAACATAGACTCCGTCATTGCCAATATCTCATACTTGACTTACACGAAGTTAAGAGTATATCTAGAGTATAACCCTCTGTCGTGCTCAAAATGCGAGACAGAAGCATTCATAAACTGGCTTTTAAGTACAAAGTCTGTGAAAATTCCACTTTCCAATCTAACATGCAGTGACGAGAATGGCTCTTTTAGAGCTATTGATCAAGCTACATTCAATTATGTTCAAGGCATTTGTAGGAGGAGAATTATTATTATTTCGACAAGCGCAGCTAGCGGAGTTATGGCCCTTATCGCTCTTGTTACTATAGTTGCCGTCTACAGATATCGTAAGATGGCTAGGAGGAAAGCGAACAGAATAGAATTGATTAACAATCTACGCAACGGAGAAGGACCATATAAATTTGTGGCTTTCTTGTCTTACAGTGACCACGATGAAAACTTTGTGAATGATTATCTGTATAGACAATTGAATGAAACTCTACAACTAATGACGGGAATACATGAAGAAGATAGAGATTTAGTCTGTACCCATAATATGCATTTTGAAATTGGTCACGGTATATTAGCTGAAACTGCACGATGTATAAACAGTTCCTCTTCATTAATTGCGGTCGTGTCAGACAGCTATCATTGCGATGGAAACTGCTTTTTCGAGTTAGATTGTGCAGCTAGGCACTTTCGAAAGCCTATTGTACCATGTGCAAATGAAACAATCTACGAAGCCGTATTTGAACAGCCAATGCTGCTGCCTTTTAGAAGAGAAACAAGAGTCACATGGAGGTATGAAAATCAACAGTATAACATGAATACAACAATAGAGGATTTTTGTTCTTCACTTTTAGACATTATTGCTAACATGCAGTGACGAGAGGAAAACAAATGATCAAAGCGGAAGAAGAATAGGTTCCCGCTCGAACAATACCTTGAAAATGCCCAGATAACAAATCTATCTGGACAGTCTCAAGTATCGACTAGAAATTAACAGTAGGTTTGCTTCCAATACAGTGACGGCACCTATGTGCATTTTTGCAATATCGTAATTTGAACATTTAATGAAATTGTAGATGCAAAATGTTAGTACTTTCTTTTATTGTGTAACGATATTTACAATGGTTTGTTGTGTGCAGGAATGTCAGTGGTATGCTAGCATTTCAAAATTATGCAAATGAGACGAATCAATTGAAATGTGTTTCTAAGCTATTTGTTTTTACCTCAGTTATATAATTTTCATTTTTTATTATTTTAATTACTTTAGAATATGTATAAGCACTTACAAACGTATTACAAATCTTCATTATTAGACTTTAAATACAGTCATTTGTTACAACATTTCTATTTTAAACAGGAATACATGTACGTGTATACTAAATAAAACCTGAAACTTTATCCGACAGCAATCGAAACTGCTATACCATTTCATCGTTAATTATGTTAATTCAACTATTCAAATAGAAATAGTGTTATGTTTCTTTGTTATTCTCATGGCTTTACAAAGAAACGCTTAAATCACGCACGAGTCAGTTTTTGTTTCATTGTAAAGTAGCGAGGACAAAGCGAAACGTTTGTTTAATGTCGCTGTCGAATCATAGCATACGGGTTTTCTCAATGTATGTCCTTGAATGGTTTTCCTATGAAAAGAAAATTTTAACAATAACGATAACAAAAAAAAGAAAAGAAAAACAAGAAAAACACAAAAAAAAACACCAAAAAACAAACAATTAAACACACACACACAATTTATAGGATCATGATTGGCATACAGATCTACATGGTATTTTCAAAAATTGTACGTATAGTTTACTTTGGTGTTACGGCTCTCTAACACTTTAGATAGTAATTATGGCGCCGAAAAAAGAAAGATAATTTTGGTTAACGTCAGGTGTTACAAAGATTTTGGTTAAGCCCGTGTGTTAAATCTTTAATAAACCACCTCATCTGCTGGAACCAAGTGATGCATAGACTCCAGTAGTTATCCGAACTCATTTAGTCACCTTTCATGATCACGCTGGGATAACCGGCGGCTGCAATTCTTATACCGCACTCAACCATTTGGCCACAATTCTGTCATCTCTGATCCATCATGGTCAGTGTACTATAGCCATAAAAATAAGAGGAATTAAAGAAGTGACATTAAAATTGTCATACAATCGTCATGAGCACGATCATTCTTATTTTTGTAACATAAGTTTACAGTTGGAAGTCAGTCTAGCGAAAAGTTGGATAGTTTTATGTTATGTTTTCTACATCTTAATTTAGTGACACTATAAAGTAACTTTAAAAGTTTATAGTTATATAGAACACAAAAAAATTAGAATGATTTAGTTAGTTTTAGTTATAGTAAAATCTATGTCTACCTGAAAATAAATGACGGTTGCATGATATCTATTAAAGAAAAAATAAAAAATCCTTTTATAAAAATATAGATTCAAAAAGAGAAAATCGTTTTTAAGACAAATATTCCGAAATTTTTTATAATTTACACTTCTTTATTGTGCCTTAGACATGTTATTTTCTTTGTTTGAGAGTAGCATTTTCCTGAATGTAATGATTGACCGCTAGGTGTCGCGATTCGTATAATTTTTGCACGTGCAAAATTATCGATTTAAATAGTCATTCAGACTGACCTGTACGCTTATTTTAAAACCGGTTTTGTTTACGTGTTATGTCTTCGGGCGAGGAAATTAGCCGTATGAGTGTCACAGATTCATATACGTACATGTTTATATTTGTTACTGTTTGTCTTATTAAATGTCAAATAGCTTTAATTTTCATCATAGGTTTCATTCATCCTACTTACCAACATTATGGGCCTCTATCTAACTTTCTACTTCATTGATTAAGTGCACTACGCATGCGCACTATTTTGAAAGAGTTTGTTGGCGATGGGTTGCGATTCTTGAATGCTAATAAAATTATTTGAAACGCATAATTTGTGTATTTACAGGTAGATTGGTAGATTGTTATGATGCTCTGATTCATTCTTTCCATTTTGTCATTCATCATTTTCATTGATATTTTGTATTTTGCACTATTTTGAAAGATTTTGATGGCGAGAGCCGCAATTCTTGAATGCTAATAAAATTTTTTGAAAGCGCATAATTTGTGTATTTACAGACCCTCCAGATGTCCAGGTCCCAAGTACGTTAACGCACAGCGTCCAACAGAAACCTCCTTATCTTTTGGACTGCGACATTTGGTGCCCAACGGGGGACCGTGACTGAATATAGCTCAGAGTTTAATTCACATTGCTCTGTAACTTTGTGAAATTCGAGGACGAATTTCATTATAGCATGGGTGTATGTCATGGTTCAGAACTGTTTCGGTCAGGCTGCATATTTTTCTCACCCTGTGACATTTGGCTCCCAACTTGGGGCTGTGACTGCTTATACCTCATAGTTTAATTAGTATTGCTCCGTAGCTTTGTCTAGGACGAATTTCAATATTGTGGTGAAGTATGTCACGGTTCAAAACTGTTCACTATTAAGAGGAGAAGATGTAAGCGAACTCATAGCTCAGTCGGTAGAGCCGCAACGGTATTTCGAATGTCCCGGGTTCGAGTCCCGTTCAGGCTTCACATTTTCTCACCCTGCGACACTAGTATACAGGTTTACATGAACAGTTAAATGTCATATTGTCGGAGCATTCTAGTTTGAAGAAAGAAGTACACGATAACAACGTTTCTGTTTCTTCAGAAGTAAAACATTTAAAAGCTGAACAGGATATAAAGTCGAAGTTCGAAGATAATAAGCAGCAGTACTGTTTCAACAGTGAATTCGCTGACATTGTTAAGCATGCCTTGTGGGCTATTGAACACGGCAAATTTGAATATTGTGGTGACCAGCTGAAAGAGTTGACTGAGAAGTTGCACAATAGAATAAAGACATAAAGATAGCAGATAGTTCCCCTGCTGGGTGGGATACGGTACGCCAGTATAAGTGCAATCATGTAGCCAGTGATAGCGACGATGAAGTCAAAATAAATAAAGCTGAAAATCGTGCACTTAAAGGTAAACGTTCTTCTTCTAAAGGGTGTGGCGCGCGTGAAATTGTGCGTCCTGTTGGTCCTAGTTTTCAGCAGCCATATTCTTCAGTACATAGCGTGATGTCGGGCCGTGGACGTAATTTTTGTTCCCCATTTGCTCCAGTCTTGTCATACGTATACGGCTCCAGCTTTGCTTATAGTACCGGAAGCGGCTTCTACGGCGATCCTGTCACCCCAGGGCCATGTTTTCATTGCTGAGAGAACACCCACTTCCGAAGAGAATGTCCACGAGCGCATTCATCAGCAACTTTCGGTTTCGGACAGCAAGCCACAGCAAGGAAGATCTCGTCAAGATACAGACATTTCTATGTGTGATGAGTATGATTGTTCAAGGTTTACACATAAATACCATAAATATGAACAAGGTCAACTGAATATTATTGTTAAGGGCAGGTTTAAAAGTCATATTGATTTTTTGTAATGATTTCATATATGATATTATTGACGATGGATATAAGATTCCATTGTATTCTCAATCAGTTAATGTTATATTCAAAAAATCATGAATCAACATTATTTGAGCAAGATTTTGTCTCTCAGTCGATAAATGATTTACTTGAAAGACATTTAAAAAAAATGTTCGAAAATTCCTCATGTAGTGAACCCTCTTACCGTATCTGTTTAAATTCAGGTAAAATGTCTTATTCATGACCTGAGAGAGGTTAACCAGCACCTGTGGAAGCAAAGTGTTAAATATGAAGATATAAGAATTGCTCTTTCCTTAATTAGAAATATGTGTTATATGATAGAATTCGATTTAACAAGTGCATATAATTTTGTTCAAATATTTGAACCGCTAACAGAGCTTTTGGGTTCTAGTTGAAAAGACAAATATGGCAATGTCATATATTGGCCATATATCTCAAATTATGAGAAATATTTAACTTTAGATGTATTAAATAAACGGTATCGGGTTGCCCACATTTCACTCAGTGCAGAGAGTTATAAAAAACTGTTATTCTGGAAAGGTTAGTTGTCGTGTATAGACAAGAAAGATTTTGAAAAATCGCAAAATATATGTAATACAGTAGTGTAATCTGATGCAAGTGACAAAGTTTACGCTAGGTATGAGGTTAATACCTTAAACGGGGTATCCCATGGCGTCTGGTTAGAAACAGAACGCACCAAATCTTCCACTTGTACGGAACTGGTTGCTGTCTACAGAGTATTGTTGGCTCTAGGACACTTCCTTAAAAGGAAATGATGCAAGAACTGCAAGAAAATACCTATGCAATTTTTCAGTATTGCATGGAGAATGCTATTTCATTAAAAGTAGAGTGGATCCCCAGTACACAGAATGAAAAGTCAGATTTTTTATCAAGGCTATCTAATTTTGATGACTGGGGAATTTCGTTTGATATATTACGAATGAAAACTGATCGTTTCGGTCAATTAATTGTTGATTGGTTTGCATCATATTATAATGCTTAACTGACAAAGTTTTATTCAAGATTTTGGAACCCAGATTGTTTTGGGATTGACAGCTTTCCGGAATGCTGGGAAGGGCAGTTTGGGTTATTTGTACCCCCTATATCTTTTATTCATAGAGTTATTATGAAATTGGTTTGTGATCACGCACATGGAGTATTAGTTATTCCTTGTTGGAAGTCCGCCATATTTTGGCCATTTATATGCCCGAATGGATGTTTTATAAAAGTTGTAGATTGGTTTGATTTACCTACGGAAATACATTTTTTTAAATAAAGTCTAAAAGTGGAAAATGTATCTTTGGAAACACCGATTTAAAATTTAGAATTACAGTTTACTCAAGGGAAATAATTAAGTTTGTATTTCTATTAAGTAATAACCGGATGTTCTCCCTTG